TTTGGTTACTCGGCAAAAATTATTGGAACTGGGTTGGGATGTTTTGTCACACCCACCATATTGCCCTGACCTTGCGCCTTCGGATTATCATTTGTTTCGTTCCATGCAAAACTCTTTAAATGGTAAAATTTTTAACAACGCGGATGATGTCGGATCACACCTAATTCAGTTTTTTAATAGCAAAGACCAGACATTTTACGAACGGGGAGTTTTTACTCTGCCAGAACGATGGAAAAAGGTCATCGACAAGAACGGCCAATATCCAATTGAATAAAGTTATAACTTTAAACAAAAATTCCGAATTTGCCTTCTTATTTGAAATCAGCAATGACTTAGTTGCCAACCTAATAGATCAAAATTTTGGGATGATTTAATACGCATTGGAACTATGTAATTTTAATTAGTCATCAATTCATTTGAACTTGTTCGATAAGAGCCTTTGTATGGCAATCCATTTTTTTAGCAATGACATCTATATACAAATTGTTGAAAGGTCTTCACACAGAAGAACTGAATGTTGACGATCCCTGGTAGTGCTTGTTTCAGGTGGATTAATTATGGCCACAAACGCCTTTGATGGATCAGAACTTCAATTTGTTGCCAAATCGCTACTCAATATTCTCAAATTTTCCACCAAATGTGGCAAGAACCAGTAAAGACCATCTGCAACAAAGGTCCTAACTCTACTCTTATTGACAATTCTTTTAAACATAAACATGGCCAATGTCAATACAGCATTGTGTTTAAATGAGCAATTGATTGTAATTCTCGAGAGATGGCGATGGATTGGAGTTCTGGTGACTGAATTAATTACATTTAGTTTTCTGACCACGATCAGCAATGACTTAGTTGCCAACCTAATATTTCACAGTACTCTTCTCACCTTTTTTCTACCTTTGTGTTTGTCTCTTACATCTTTGAAACGCTCTTCTGTTCCCGCCCCCCTCTCGAATTTTTCATTTTGATGTTCCTTCTCCTCTGTGAAGTCTGAAGTCAACTAAAGGGCTAATGAAAACCATCAAAACGCTTGCCATTTGATATAAATAAATAAACCATTTTCAAAATGTGTAAGTCATGATTGAAAGTGTTGTCAGCAGAGGTTTATCTCCCTCTCCTACTATTACTACGTCGTTCTGTGGGAACTCAATTGAACTTTGGAGTGATGAATCTCAAGAAAGCCGACTCATCGGCCTTCAGTAGACACGATCTTCTAGTACTTATCTTCAAGATTCACAATATCTTCATTTAGTTTCACTAATAATACGCTAATCACTGCCCTAACAGGTAAAAGCGAGTCAATTATTTACACGAGATTGAAGATTTAGGAACTAATACGTGGGCAGGAACTGTGCAAATTGAATGACGACGACACAATTACAAGTATCACTCCCCCCACAAACAATTCACGATTTCACATTTACAAACCAGATAATTTGTATCGAGTGGAGACTTCAAACAATTTTTAAAGAAAAATATACTATATTTAGCCTTTTTCTTAGTTATGAGCATAATTCGTCCTCAATATGCACTGCCGACATAGAGATTCCTCCAGTGTTTCTAGAAATGGAGATAGTAAGAACAATAGAATCATTGGAAGTATTTCCAATTTCCAATTCATCGTTTCTTTGGTTTTAACTATCTAAAATCAAAGACAAGTTGTAATTCATATTTCCATTAAACGTTTCTTCTTGTTCTAACTGTCAAAATATCTTGCAACCTTGCATTCATTTTTGACCTACTGGAGCTAATGGATGAGGACTCATGGATAGAATGTGTCGAGTCCCAAGAATTTGATCACCATATTGCATCTAATTGCCTAAAGCTGGGGCCACCAGAAGCAGTGTTTAATCCAGCAAGTTGGAGTAGACTCCGGTGGAGAATCGGAAGGCTTCTGTTTCGGCTTGGAAAAATGTGTGAATAAGTACCTATTCCTATTTCCTTTGTGGTCTCTCTCTCCAACTGCTTTTACTATATTCAATAAAGTTTTCATAAATTCTTAATTTATGATGACAACCTATTGCTTGTGGTAACATAACTTTGTGCTCATACTTCTCATACTGCTGAAACTGTAAATTATTGAGATATCGTTTTGCAATAAATTCAGAATGGCGCCATTAACTAATGTGTATAACTTGGAGGTGAGCTACTGTCTAGTGGGAATTCGTTTCCAAAGGAATTACCAAATATTTTAGGCGAAATTCGAATTGAAGGCGTGGATAGAGGGGGATAAAGAGGAGGGGGGGTGTTGAGAATAGTGCAAATGCAGAATGTGAGAAGCTGATGGATTATATATTTTTAGTGACTAAGCAACATCCTGTTTGACTACGACCACCTAACACCATCAATTAATTTATCGCGATGTCCATGTTTCGACTTGATGTTTTACCATCCATACCGTGAGATCCATGCACACATATTTGGGGACTATTTCATTAGGAAGCCAAGCTACTTTACTAAAGAAAAGGGGAACAAACAATGAAGTGTATTGAATAGTAGATCGTAAAATTGACGAATTTAGGAAGAAATGATTTGAAAGGAGAGAAGCGAAGGTAAAGTGATTGACAATTGCGATAAATTCCACGAAATTAAACTATAAAAATCTTTTAAATTAATATATTTCTAAAATTAAAAAAACTCTTTGTAAACCTAGTGTTCACGAATCCATCAAGTGCAGGTCCTGTCAAATTCATAATAAATTGCCGCCATTCTATTTTCAATTGTTGAAATTAACAAAGAAGAGTCAACTCTGAATGGAGATCAAAATTTTGTGATGATTTAATTAGCTTTGGAACTAGGTAATTTTAATTATTCATCATTCCATTTGAATTTTCTCGAAAAGAGACTTTGTATGGTGATCCAACTTACGTAGCAATGACATCTATGCACAAATTGTTGAATGGCAGAAGAACTGAATGTTGCTGATCCATGGTAGTGCTTGTTGCCGGTGGATGGATTATGGCCACAAGTGCCGTTAATGAATCAGAACTTCAATTCTTTGCCAAAGCGCTACTCAATATCTTCAAATTTTCCACCAAATGTCCCAAGAACCAGCAAAGACCATCTGCAACAAAGGTCCTAACTCCATTCATGTTAACACTTCTGTTAAGCATAAACATTGCCAATGACAATATAGCATTGTGTTTAAATGAGCAATTTATTGCATTTCTCTAGAGATGGCGGTGGATTGGAGTTCTGGTGACTGAATTAATTACATTTAGTTTTCTGACCACGACATTCAAAAATGCCGCACTCAGACCTTTCATCTAATATGGTATTTCGATCATGAAACACGCCAATATGGAAATGATGTTGATTAAATGTCTAGGACCACAATGTGGATTTCCAGTAGACAGATTTCACGAATTATGTCTCAAAACAAGGCAAGATCTACACACCCCAATACTTTATTTGAAGTTTGTCCTCAAACGCTAATCTGTGTTACCCCGTGCTCATTGGCCAGTAGCAATATCTTGTAATCAATTTCATCCACATTCATTCCATAAATAGAAACCAAATACAATCATTGTATTCTGTGGCACCATCTCATTTCCCATTTCCCTAAGTTCAAATTTATTTACTTGGTAAAATATTTCCATTTCTGTCTCCAATATGCCATTTAACTTTGACTTTCATCACTCTCCCATTAGCTTTAGAGGTCGTACAGAACGTAGAATTGAATAGCAAGGGAGAGAGAGGGCATTGAAGATAAACACCTGATAACAGCGCTTTCAATCATGCCTCACACATTTTAACAAAGACAATGGGGAACAAATGAAAAAAATAATTGCCAATCCTTGTTTGCACAAAATAGATTATAAAGCAGCAGCAACAGCAGAAGTAGTCTAATGAGTGTCACGAGTTTGAGATTGTAGGAACAAGGTTGATGATTGGGTGTATTCCAAATCGGCGTTTTATTTGATTCACGACTGCCCTACCTTTCAAATTTTTCTGATCGAAATTTTGGTACTTCTGCATCTTAAATTTGTCCGTGTCATTTGTGCAATTGGAACAAATAGATAAGTCTGACTGGAGGTTGACAACGAAAAAGCACAATTAGAATTATCCTGAAGTCATTCTTACTGCCATTCTTCCTTTGCCCTTTTCTATTTTTTGACCAACCTCGTCATGGCTGTTGGGCAAGCAAACTAACTTACGTCAATCTCGTGACTAATTCAATGACAAGCAAGCCAAGTTGTCGATACACCTTCAGCACAAATGCATTTCAATTAATGGAACACACCTCATTACCTAACTAATGATAAAAATTTTAGAACAAACATTAGTGAACGTTTGAAGTACGACAATTTACTAATCGATCAAAATATGTGAATGCACCATTGTCGTGGATTTCGATAAACAAAACTGCACAAATGAGTATAAATGGCTGCCACATGTGGATTACGGCCCATCATTTCAAAAAGACAGCTAGAANATCTGAAATCAAAGACATGATGGAGTTAAAATTGACAATTCTTTCAACAATTCTTCTTCTTCTCACTCTTTCCAACACGCGGCACACTGAAGCCATTGTTGTTCCGATGGAGAAACTGGAAGAGAACGTGTTCGTTGTTGGAGATGAGGATGAGGATGGTGATGAAAGTGGCAATGTGGATTCCACAAGAGTTCCGATCGAGTCTCCAGATTGGGATCGCAATAATGGGATTGAAGATATGAGGAAGGAGAGAACAGAAGTAGTGTTGCTTCCAGCAGATTGGAGAAGAGTCTGGTCGGATTTTAAAAGAGGTCTGAGTCGACTTGAAAAAAAAAGATCGAAGAGTTCCAAATCCTATTCTAATTAGGGTTTTACTATAACTGCTTCTCTTTTGAATTCTATTTAGAATAAATGAAATTGGTAATCTTATTCTTAATTTTTGTGCCATTACCTTTGTTAAAATGTGTGAGTTTTTATTGGAATGGATGTCTACAGACGATAATTTGGAAAGGGCAAGTATTAATGTTTGGAAATATAAAAGTTAAAGTTACAGTGTATTCAAATTTTGTGTAATGTTTAATGAGTCTCAATGGACACACATTCATTTTATTGACAAGACTACCATTAAAAACCGCACTCGTTAAAATTGGTATTCAAACCGATGCTCACACTGGAATTCACGAAATTTTACGCAAGAATGCGGACTGAAAGAGTTCATTGGTTGTAGGGAATATTTGCTTCCAAATGAAGATCGCAAAATCTTATTCAATAGATTTCCTTGTAACCTAAGAAACAATTGCCTTATAATTTGAATCACTATTCAAAATTACTATTAAAGCAAATGCAATGGAAGTGATGACTGAGTGCATTTAAGGAAATAATCCATCCAGCTAAAATAATCAATTCTTATGACTAATATTTAGATCCTTTGTCTAGTAAACCTGAAACAAGTAATGCTCTGATTAATCAGCATTTTGTTCTTCTGTCTATTATTCGGAAACTGCTTTGAGATTTCGCACCCAATTTTGCCAGGACACTATATTCAATTACCTTTCAATCAAAATCTACTGTTCTGAGTGAACTCGTGAACAGTGGGTTCAAAATTGTTATTGGAATTCTATGGGATATATCAAATGACGTAAACTATTCAGTTTATTTTCAAGGAATACAACGTGACCCATATCGCTTAGCCTTTCCTCTCCTCCCAAAGAAGTCATTTCTTCCTTGATTCGTCAATCTTTCACTCTAAGTTTCAATGCACTCCTGGTCCTGATCACCTTTTCGTTCCTGAAACCGATCGCTTTGTGAAAATGCTCGAATAAGATTGAGTTCAAATGAGATAGTGATTTTAATTTTGAAGCAAATATTCGCCACACCAAAGAGCTTCCTCGGTAACTCTTCTTAAGTGAGCAGAGGTTGCAAGGAAGAAATGCCTATCCCAACGAAGGACATCGGCGATAAATTAAGTGACTGTGTTGGATAGTCACTAAAATTTCCTTGCATCAATTCCTCACATTCCCAATTTGAGTGATTCTTAAATTGCTCCATTTTATAACCCCACTCCTTCAGCCTCCTTTACCCACGTCTTCTATTCAAATTTAGCTTTATAAACATGGCGATTATTACTAAAACATACTTCTACATGGTCTAGTTCACTTTCTCTATTCCCAAGAATTTCAATATCGATATCTTGTGTATTTGGAGATTCAGCATCTGAGCTGCCTGAGATCAAATATTCAAGCACACAACTAACGTACAGTAGTGATAATTTAATATATTCAACAAAATCTGGATGAAGCATTAAAAGGAAGAGATTGAGTAAAACGAACGTAGGAACGGGCACTCGTTTATACATTTCTCCAAATCGACGCAGACGCTTTCAATTTCCCCACCAGAATCCTCCCCAACCTACTGGATTAAACACTGCCTCTGATCGCTCCAGCTTCAAGTCATCAGGTGCATTATTGTGATCCAATTCTTGGGAATCGATGAATTCTATCCAAGTATCCTCATTCCGAATCTCCAACAGTGCAACGATGCCTACAAAGTTGTAAGATTTGGTGAGAGTGTGAATGGGTAGCAATTCCGAGCGTAATGGAAATATGAAAAGCAACTTGTCTTTGACTTTCGAGAGTTTAAACCAAAGAATCGATGAAATCAAATTAGGAAATACTCCCACTTATTCCATGTGTTCTTAACATCTCCATTTCTGAAAACACGGGAGCCATCTCTATGTCGGCAGTGCATAATGACGACGAATTGCGCTTAGACCGTTGCATTTCATTACTAAGAAAACGGCTAAATATAGTTTATTTTTCTTTTGAAATTGTTCGAAGTCGCCACTCGGTACAAATTATCGGGTTTGTAAATGCGAAATCGTGAATTGTTTGTGGGGGAGCGATACTTGTAACTGCGTGGTCGTCATTCAATTTCCACAGTTCCTGCCCACGTATTAGCTCCGACATCTTCGATCTCGTACCAGTAATTGACTCGCTTTTACCTGATAGGGCAGTGATTTGCGTACTATTGGTGAAATTTAAGGGATATATTGTGGATTTTAAAGATAAGTGCTAGAGGAAAGTGCTTTCCAAACGCCGATGAGTCAGCTTGCTTGAGATTCACCACTCCTAATTTCAATTGAGATCCTAGAAAACGTAGAAGAAATAGTAGGCAAGAGAGATAAACCTCTGCTGACAGCGCTTTCAAACATGCCTCACACATTTTGACAAAGGTAATTGGAAATGAATTAAGCTTAATTATTGTCACACCTCATTTGCACAAAATAGGTGACAAAGCAGCAGCAACAGCAGTAGTTGTCTCCTGTGTGCCAAGAATTCGAGAATGTGGAAAAATTGAAATGAATGGATATATTTAAAATTTGCGCTTTATTTGATCCATGTCTGCCCTATCTTTCAACTTCTCCTGTTCGACATTTTGGTGCGAGATCGCAACTTTTCTGTCACTTAAATTTTTCTCTGTCACTTGCGATGTTGGAACATACAGAAGTCGTTCTTACTGCAAACCCTCCTTATATCACTACTCATTTGACCAACCTCGACTTGGCTATTGTGGAAGCGAACTAATTTACGTCGATCTCGTGACTGTATCCATGACAGACAGGCCCATTTGCCAGTGCATTGTCAGCACAATTGCATTCAAATTAAAGGGACACACCTCATAACTCATCTAAAAATAAGCATTTTAGAACAAACATTGGTGAACGATTGAAGTGCGACAATTGAATATTCGATCAATTTATGTGCATGCACCAAGGTTATGAGTTTCAATAAACAAAGTCACACAAACGAGTATAAAAGGCGGCCACATGTTGATTACGGACCATCATTTCGAAAAGATAGCTAGAACATCTGAAATCAAAGACATGATGGAGTTGAAATTGACAATTCTTTCAACAATTCTTCTTCTTCTCACTCTTTCCAACACGTGGCACACTGAAGCCATTGTTGTGCCGATGGAGAAACTNGTGGATTCCACAAGAGTTCCGATCGAGTCTCCAGATTTGGATCACAATAATGGGATTGAAGATGTGAGGATGGAGGAAACAGAAGCAGTGTTGATTCCAGCTGGTTGGAGAAGATTCCGTTCACGAATAAGAAGTGGTCTGCGTCGAATTCGAAACATATATCGAAGAGTTCCAATTCCAATCTTTGTTAGGGTTCCACTATAAATGCCAATGTCTAACCTCTCCTTTGAATAAATAATAATTGTTATTGTTTTCCAACATTTATTTCCAATTTCTTTGTTCAATAAGTGTGTTGTTTGATTGAAATTGCTGTGTGCAGAGCTGATAGAACAGTGCTTTGATGGAATCTTTTCCATCCATTTTGTAGAAATTAAGACTCGAAATTAATACTTCTTCCTGTAACAGGTGGGATCAAATTTTCGATCTCAGAAAGTCGACCATTTTGGATATTTAGATTTTGGATCGACCCGGATGCCAATATTCAACGTACTCAAAGTGATGTTATGCGGTGACATTAAGTACTTAGATTAGAGCTAGTTTCAAGTAAACGCGATGTCATGTGGGACTTAATTACAATTCGTAGAAGGTGAAATAATGTGGAGAAGTGAGTAATGGCAACTGGTGAACAAGCGATAAGTGCTGTGCTGAGTGAGTAGTCAGTAGATGACATGGATTATGCATTGGAATACGAAATGGAGTTGTGCAATTTTGTATGCTTTGTCATTGCTAAACAATGATATATTAGCAAAGATTCTTCAAGATTCTTTTAGATTTGTGAGTATTCAAGTTCTTTTACTATTGCTAGGTGTATATTTACTAAATGTTCATGCCCTTTTGCTCTTAGGTGAGGTTTCCATTAGAGAGTTGACCAAATATCCATCAATAAATAGAAATTTACTTTTGAGAGGAAGAACTGAGAGGTGCTTTTAAGGAACACGCAAAGCTAAATACGTGAAAGAATTTCATGTTCGCAAAGTTGTCGGAAAGGTGGAGTCGTGGATAGTCCTAGGGATTTAAGGAAATTCCTTCATAAACCTGTAAATGATAGTTTAAGGTAGTAATGTGGAAAAAATGCCTCATCATTATTTACTCGAAATTGAAGTTTGAGTTTGAGTTCGCCAGAAACATAATAAGAGTTTGTAAACGTAACACTTCGATTAGGGTTCCTAGTGGACAGAGTTCATAAATGAAGAATCGAGTCTCAGCGAAAGTTACATTTCGATGTTCTATTTGACGAATGATACAAATGATTATCAATAATGCCCTGTGCTCATTAATCGTTAACAGCATCTTAGTACTCAACCTTCTAGGTAAAAAAATATCAAATACAATAAGTGTTTACTGCCACACCAGCCCCAGTATTATTTCATAATTTCTCGTTTAATCAATTGGTTGCATTCATCTATTTCTGACTCCAATATACCATTTTAACAAATGTGAAGTAGTCTTTGTGTCATTTGCTGGCCGAATGTGGAATGACCACTTGCGTCAAAAATGAAGACTGATGTGGGAGGCAACAGTTGAAGGAAAGATTTTGACTAATGATAGGATCTCCAAATCACATGAAGTGTTCATATTAGATATAGTGAGAAAGTGGTAAAATTGATGAAATCGGAATTAAAATGATTGTGTTAAATTGCAATACTAAGAATAGCTATCTAATGAAGTGGAAAGCATGAGATTTGATGATCTCCAATTAAAAGCAAAACCAATCCACATCCGAAGAACTTCTGAGAAATAGTAAATGGATAGCGTTAAGTAGATAGAATATGCTTGAAGAGATCAGGAGGTTCTTTAATCAAATCACATCTTGGAATTGCATAAATTTGGGGCAATAATAGAGGTCATTGATGTGATTGTTACATACGCCTTCATCCCACATTCTCATCATGCATTTAACAAGTCATGAATGTTTACAGTATTGCAACAGGTGTAGAGTTTGAAACTTGCCTGATTCATTCAATCCAAACTCTTCCTGGTATTGGGTGATTGGCTTTAGAGTGATATCGGGTTGCGATTAGGCAAATGAAATACTTGAAATGGAAATAGGTTGGGAGTTTGCATCACTTTCAATTGTTTTCATCTGTATCAGAGGTTCAAAAACAGAAGTTCTGATCCATCAGTGGCATTTACGGTATTTATTTATTTATATCAAATGNCAGGCGTTTTGATGGTTATCATTAGCTCCTTAGTCGACTTCAGACTTCACAGAGGAGAAGGAGCATCAAAATGAGAAAAATTCGAGAGGGGAGCAGAAGAGAGATTCAAAGATGTAAAAGAGACAGACACAAAAGTAGAAAAAAGCTGAGATGAGTACCGAGGTAGTAGTCGAATATGCCATGCAGTGGGGTGTTGGCGGTTTAAAGTCAGAAGTCAACTGCCGTTTAATAGACTTTTTTGCCGTATGAATATACGTTGCCCAGGGTGCACCACATGGAGGTAAGTCCATCGCGCACCCCGTGTCATTTGTGGTAACAAGAAATGATTATTCTTCACCACAATTCAGATTCTCTGCCTATTATCTTGATCCTGTGTGGAGACATCGCATCAATTTTTGCACCGAAACAATTGTCACCTAAGTTGGATCATCATGCCGTATCACTTTTCGAGCAAATTCGAAAGGAATAATTACTGAATACAATTAAATTGTTCCACTGTGAATAAAAGCATTCCCAAATTTAAACTCATTGATATATAGCACTTCCATGTTTATTTCAAGGCTTGACATAGGTATGTTAGTTGATTACAAATGCGTTAGAATTGATCACGATATGTTTCAGGGCCTGTATTGTGAGAATTGGAGAATTCTGGGTTTACAAAGTGTTATTAGAATGCCATAGGTATATTAATTTGCGAAACCTTTTTAGTTAATTTTCGTGGAGTAAAAATCAGTTTATATCACTTCGCATTCCCATCTCTCCTTCCAAATCATTTCTTCCCAAATTCGTCTATTTCACTCCCTATCATTTTCTCTCTCTGTTTCAATATATAATTGAAACGGCTTCTGTTTTTCGTAAAATATTGAAAAGTTAAATTCTATGCAAGTTGATAAAATGGCCTGACGTTACCTGATTAACAAAGATACTGCACATAATTTCCTTGTGAATGTGGAAAATATCCACCCCAACGACAGACAACGACGATAACTCAATTTACGTTGGTGTGCGGACGTGACCAACTGCTTTGTTGCTTAGGCACTAAAACTTCTCTTCATAAGTTGCCCCCAATCTAAATTTGTGTTGTCATGCAATCGCTTCATTTTTGCGCCCCACAATTGCCTACTCCTTTCAACTCAATTTAACGTTTTGCGCTCGTCTATCGGGATTACAATTAAGTCCAGCATGACAATACTTTTACTTTTAAATAGCTCTGATCAAATTAAATGACGGTAGCTCATAACACCACCTGAATACGTTGACTATTGTTATTTTTCCTACTTCAGAGTCTTAATATCCATCTTGGTCAGCTTTCTGAGATCGAAACCTTAACCCCACAATGTATATTCCAATTTTATGGATGTAATTATTCGTCATACCGAAAGGATTCTAACTTAGCACAAATGATAAAGCTCCGCTAACAACGTTTTAATTGTACTTTAAACATATGTAAACCAATTTTAAATAAATTAAGAAAAAATACAAAACCTTTTACTTGATGTAGAGGCTAAAACAGTAGCAGTTATAGTGGAACACTAACGAAATTCGGAGTTGGAACTCTTCGGTATATGTTTCCATGTCGACCCCGATTTCTTCTAATTCTGTCACACAATTTTCTCCACCTGGCTGGAATCAATACTGCTTCAGTTTCCTTCGTGTTCAAGTCATCAAACTCAACATTGTATTCCAAAACTTGGGAACCGACAAATTCTCTCCTAGTATCCACATTACCATCCTCACCTCCTCCAACGAACAAGTCCTCTTCCTGTTTCTCCAAAGGCACGACAATGGCTTCAGTGTGCCAGTTGTTGGAAAGAGTGAGAAGAAGAAGAATTGTTGAAAGAATTGTCAATTTCAACTCCATCGTGTCTTTGATTTTAGATGTTCTAGCTTTTTTTCGAAATGATGGTCAGGAATCAACATGTGGCCGCCTTTTATATTCATTTGTGTGGTTATGTTTATTGAAACCCACGACAATGATGCATTCACATAGTTTGATCGATTATAAAATCGCCCCAATTAAAAAATTCCCAAATGTTTGTTCTAAAATCTCGATTATTTGTTGCGTAATGAGGTGTGTCCCTTTAATTGAAATGCAATGGTGCTGAAAGTACACTGACAAATGGGCTGGACAGATAATTAAGTGTCACGAGATCGAGGTTTCTCGGCCTCCTAAACAGCAGACATATCGGGGATGGTTAAAAAGGGTGGAGGAAGATGGAGAAATTGCAGTGAGAACGACTTCAAGAAAATTCTAATCGGATGTTCGTGTTGTCAGCGTGCATTCAGGCTTATCTGTAGGTTCCAATGTTACCAATGACACAGACAAATTAAAGTTCCAGAAACATTGCGATCTCACACCAACATTTCGAATCGGAAAGTTTGAATAGTAGGGCAGTCATGAATCAAATAAAAGGCCAACTGGGAATGCATCCAATCCTTAACCTTGTTCCTAGGGTCTCAAACTCTTGACACAGGAGACTCCTTCTACTGTTGGTGCTGCTTTACCATCTATTTTGTGCATTAGTTTCCTGTCACCTTTGTTAAAACGTGTGAGGCATGATTGAAAGTGCTGTAATCAGGTGTTTATCGTCAATGCTCTCCCTCTCTCTCTTACTATTCACTTTTACGTTCTGTACTACCTCTATAGCTAATAGGAGAGTGATGAAGTCGAGTTTGCTGATTCATCGAAATTCGGAGTGCAGATTTTTCTAGGACTTATACTCAAAATTTACAATATTTCGAGTAACTTTCAATATTAGACTGCAAATCACTGCCCTATCAGGTAAAAGCGAGTCAATTACTGGTACGAGATCGAAGATGTCGGAGCTAATACGTGGGCAGGAACTGTGCNAATTGAATGACGACCACGCAGTTACAAGTATCGCTCCCCCACAAACAATTCACGATTACGCATTTACAAACCCGATAATTTGTACCGAGTGGTGACTTCGAACAATTTCAAAAGAAAAATAAACTATATTTAGCCGTTTTCTTAGTAATGAAATGCAACGGTCTAAGCGCAATTCGTCGTCATTATGCACTGCCGACATAGAGATGGCTCCCGTGTTTTCAGAAATGGAGATGTTAAGAACACATGGAATAAGTGGGAGTGGTTCCTAATTTGATTTCATCGATTCTTTGGTTTAAACTCTCGAAAGTCAAAGACAAGTTGCTTTTCATATTTCCATTACGCTCGGAATTGCTACCCATTCACACTCTCACCAAATCTTACAACTTTGTAGGCATCGTTGCACTGTTGGAGATTCGGAATGAGGATACTTGGATAGAATTCATCGATTCCCAAGAATTGGATCACAATAATGCACCTGATGACTTGAAGCTGGAGCGATCAGAGGCAGTGTTTAATCCAGTAGGTTGGGGAGGATTCTGGTGGGGAAATTGAAAGCGTCTGCGTCGATTTGGAGAAATGTATAAACGAGTGCCCGTTCCTACGTTCGTTTTACTCAATCTCTTCCTTTTAATGCTTCATCCAGATTTTGTTGAATATATTAAATTATCACTACTGTACGTTAGTTGTGTGCTTGAATATTTGATCTCAGGCAGCTCAGATGCTGAATCTCCAAATACACAAGATATCGATATTGAAATTCTTGGGAATAGAGAAAGTGAACTAGACCATGTAGAAGTATGTTTTAGTAATAATCGCCATGTTTATAAAGCTAAATTTGAATAGAAGACGTGGGTAGAGGAGGCTGAAGGAGTGGGGTTAAAAAATGGAGCAATTTCAGAACAACTCAAAATTGAAAAGCGATAAACTGATGGAATAGAATTTTGGTGACTAAGCAACAACGCGATTGATCATGACTACCCAACACCGTCAATTAAGTTATCGCCGATGTCCATCGTTCACCTGGACATTTCCACCTCTTTCTCAGGAGGTCCATGCGCACGAGTATCTCGAAACAGGCCATTATGACCCGTTACATGGAATTTGATTGTGGGAGATAAAAGACATGACATTTGCAATAAAAAATATGTAAAACACGATGGGAAATGTCCAGATTAACGATGTCCATGTTCACCAAAAATCACTGAATTGCTTTGAAGTAATTGCTTAGAAATAACTTCATCAGGCTTTCATGACCTCTCCTCAACTCTGTTTGATGCTCTCTAATGACCTTAGAAATCAATAATAATACTGAACAGTATTAATAACTAAGGAGAATTCTAATGCGAATGAAAATTTCAAAGGAAGCTCGATAGTCTGCCAGTGACCACGTTCGCTTAATGTCGCAATTTTATAGGCAAAGGAAAGATTTTATGAGTCTCCAAAATACTGAATCTACAACTGGGACGAAATTGCCAACCTTGGACTATTTCTACCCGAAAATGTCTCCATTGCATGTTTTTCTACGCTCCCTATAGTTCTTCCAGGATGGCGAGATTGCTAAAAAGCGATCTACTTACCATTATTTAGTAGTAATGACATTTTGGCTTCATAGGATACTTCTGTGCTCTTAAGTAGGACCAGTGACAATTGCGGAAAAAGTGGCCTGATGAGTACACAAGTAGACATATTATTTCACTTTTACTTCATTTTGGTTTTATAAAGACTCCGTGCTACTTGATCTTTATATCGGATCAAATTATAGCATTCACAAATTGCCAACCAGTGATTCAATTTGACTGCTCTCTGGATATATTATCACATATGATAGATTTGCGAACGCCACCAAGATACCTCTCATTCCCACGGTCTTGGAGGAACCTTTTCACTGATAAATGCATAGAAGGTTAACTCTATGGCGGAAAGTTTATTTAGGCACAAATAATACCAATTGTTGACGCATTTTCACCTCGCAGACTTGTTATTCCCACACCCCGATACAAATTATTGAGGCTCATTGCGACATCTATCGTTAAGCAATGAACAAATGATACAAAATTGCACAAAGCCACCGCGTACCACCGACACCTCGATTTCACTCTTTCAGTACTACGCCTATTCCAGCTGCCCCTACCAGTTGACAAGACTTGCTTCGATCCATTTTTTCACCTCCTATAAACACCATGATGTTCTCAACCCGGGAAAGGCTGCGGTGACAAATTTAATCAAGTTAACACCATTAGACTCGTTAGGTCATTTGTAAACACCAAAAAGAACCCTTGAAAAAAGCAAGTCACGCATTTGTGTAAATTAACAAAAGACAAATTATCACAATATCACTGAGTTTCCTGGTGATCCTCCGACAATTCCTGCTGGTAGAATTCAATTAAATCCCGAATACATGGGTAGATCTCGGGGTATTCACGTTGCTGCCTCGACTCCACACCTTCCACATAAACGTCCATCGCTCTAGTGATGAAAGTCAAACGAGCTGCCTCATCTGCCTGTCGAAGACACCATCGAACATATCGTTCCAGACTCCAGCCTTCAATTTGATCACCACCTCTAGCTGCCTGATGATAAGGCAAGGGGATTTCCGTGGGAGCCCTCGCTATCATATGATGCAGAATCAAGCTTCCAGGAAGGCTGCCCACGTTACTTCCGAGTCCTATTACGCCACGATTGGAAGTCAAGGATGATCCCTTAGATTTTACTGTCTAAATAAGAAAAAATAGAAGTAATGACGTAGCAGTAACTTTTCACTAAACCTGCTCTCCTAACCAATAGTATTTCTTCTTCCGACAAAGCAAACAGTTGTCTGAGGATCCTCAATCGAGCAAAAGCAGCTTCAGTATGCAGCGAGGGCGGAGCTAGTGTGGAGAGAATCATTTCAATCTCCGCGGCGCAGCTAGTCAGATGTGAGCGTTGTTCCACACTAGTGCATGGACGAAGAAGACTTATATGCACAGCGAGGGCGTCTAAACACGGTGAGAGGACACGGGTTTGCAGGCCAAAGCGCAAAGCAGCTTCTCCGGAGTTGAAAAGAGGAGCTGCTGAGCGATTGATACTGACAATTCCACTACCAGAAGACGTTGTAAATCCCGAAAGATATTCGGTTCGCATTCGATGAATAAATGCCTAAGTGAGTTATAAAGTAAATATTAAGTAAAGTAACCCAGAAACATGCTAGATAAAAGCCCATCGAAAAGGAGTGTTAAAAACTTAGAAACAGATCGTTAACAACAATGAAAAGTTGGTTAATGGGAAGAACCAACCTCCATTATTTCAACCTGAACCTCAAGATAAGCTTTCGTAAAAAAGCAATGGGCCAACCATAACAGATTGAACCAGTCCATTCAAGCGAAACTTTATTCCACCTGATAGGTCCAAAGGATATCAAAGCAAGAAGAGATTCACCCCTGAAGTATACCATGGTTGAAGTGTACTCCCAACCCAGAAGAGAGAAGAATCACATCCTTTACATTTGAAAAGAAAGTACGGTCTGATTAGAGAAAAGCGAATAGCCATCTGGTTAAGCATCGAAATGAAAGCATGGGAGAACAGTCATAAGAAGTAATGCATCTGTAGAAAATTCAGGAAACTCCAGTTAAGCGTGACACTATCAACCATAAGAGATTTAATACAAATTCCTTCAAAAGATTTGTATCGAAAAGGTAAAAGCACAGGTTAATTGGAAGTGGGCTAATGGAAATCCCTAATTCAATAATCCCAATTACTCAACTCTTTTTCCAAGAAATATCTAATGCAAACGATTTTCCAAGTAAATGTAAATAAACAGTCGTAACATAGCACGGAGACAACGAAACTCGTTTAGTGAATCTACAACTTCTAAAATGAAAAGAAATTATTTTTATGCTGATGCAAAAAACAGGTTAGGTTAAAGAGCCACTTTTCTGATCAGCACCCTATGCACTATTACCTAATCCTCTAGCAGCAATAATATTAATGTTTTATACATTTTAACACAAAGGTTAGTTAACACGAAAAGGTGTTGGTGAAATAATTTAACCATAACATATTCACATTGGTACATTTTTACGATTAAAATAACATACAAGATGCGGGTCTTGAGGGTGGGCATTGCAATTAAACTAAGTAATTAGTAAAGTTTTTTTGAATTCAAATAGCGAAACCCCCGTTTCAATAATATATCTGTAGCATCAATTATCGTGGAGAGTGATGGCAGGATGCCAATTTCTATTTGGTGACGACGTAAAACTACCCGTTCGTCCAAGATGAGCTTTAGAAAATACATCAATAAATAGTAATAAAAGTTAGCAACATCTTTAGGCCTAAAAGTAGATATCAACAAAGCAAGAAGTGAAAGGACAAGAGTAGGCAAACATACTTGAATATCCCTCACGCAAGGTGGATCAACTTCCTCGGCCATCGAGATCTCCAAATGAATTCTGGGAAGGTATTTCTCAACTACATGATCCGTAAGAGCCTTGAACAATGGTTCTAGAGCAGATAAGCATACATCTGAGAGTTCCGACACAATGGTTTGATCGACAATTGCCTGGGGATCATCGATATCTTCGCGTCTAATGCCCCATTTCTGTTGTTGAGCAGTAGTATGCCTAGCAACAGCCATTCTCAGATGATCAACAAAAGCACAGGTGAAATTCACCAAATGTACATTCTTTTGTTGACCGGGAGTGGGCAATCCTTCCACCGAGACTTGACTTGTCACAATTAGAGCCTCGACTTTGGTTGAAAAGAGAGCTATCATCTTGGCAACATTGCGGATAACCTAAAAGCGATGAGGCACATTAAAACCAACGTACAGAGAAATTTGGTTTTCATCGACCACCTACCCGTACTGCTTTGAACTTTGAAATATTCAAGAAAACGATAAATCTAATTTAAGGGTGATCTCTAATAGAGGTGTGCTACGGTAGGCTTACAGAAAGGCATATTAATTTCGATATCAAGACATAAGATATTCCGCGACCCAGGATCTCTTCAAGAGAAAGACCCAAATAATCACTCGATGAATTTTACATTGACAACGACCTTCGGAGATTAAAAGTGCCTAAAGTAAGCACGACTTAAGACGACTAAAGTATAGGCGGGATTGAAACACCAAAAAACAACAATTATTACTCCCATGAATTGAAGGTAGATAATGAGTAATGCACATAAATCCACAATAATGACCTTGCAGAAGAGTTCGCGTTGAACGGCCGCGGACTGTGCTAGCTCCGTGGACACTGTCTGCACTAATCTCTCGGCATCAATAAGTCTGGGAAGATTTTCCCCAGCAGGATCCAAAGCAGTTACCCCTACGAATATCGAATTGACACGATCAAAGAGACGCGTCAAACCCCTTCCCAAATAAGCCGCTTCAAAAGGTGCCAAGAAGGTAGTAAGTGGCTTAGCCAACAGAGGCTGTTGACTATTGCCGGAGAGGTTAAGGAACAGCTTCAGCAATCGAGGATAGTCACTCTCTAGGGCTTCTTTCAGCTGGCCGGATCGTCTGCGAAGAGCCGGTTCGAAAATGGCGGATAGGCAGGTTATGATCCATCCTAAAAGACCTTCTGAGTACGCCTCGAACATATAGCTATCCACATCCTTGGCTAGCCTTCTGATATTTTCTACCACTTAAAAAATATTAGATATTAAGAAAGGCATGCGATGAAATATCACTAGAGAAAAATAGGAGAGGAATGTACTTGAATTTTCTTCATTACTAGTAGAGAGAACAAGTATTATCGCTGCGCAACAATCTCTTTCTTCAGGGATAGTAATGTTTGCAAGAATGTAACTCCCAAGTTGGCTAGAAAGACTTTCAGAACCAGAGTGAATCTTTTGCAGTGTATCGATGAGCATTCGAGCTTGAGAAAGGCAACGGTCCAGCGTGGTGATCATTTGGTCTAGACCAGTCCATAGAAGATTTCGAAAAGCTGCAGCTTGGCCACCAGAAGTAGGGAGAGAAGCTTTCCCTGGTTTACTTGACGAAAGCGACGAAATTACCTTTCCTTTAGCGCGTTTGTTCAAATCTTCAACATCAGCTGTAATTTTGACGATATTTTCGACATCCTTCTGCCAATCGGAAACGAGGCCTTGAATGACCTTAGGAAGCATTGACAGGTTGTTGAAGGCCTGTAAAGCATGACCCAAATGACTTTGGTCGTTATTTTTGAAAGAAATATGAATTAGCTCCCAAGCCTCTGTGGTTAGGCGTTCCTTTTCAACAGAGAGAATCTTGAAATTTTCTTCCAATACTTGAATTCCCTCCCAGTCTAAAGTCTCGAAAGTGCAATTCAATTCTTCGACGTATTCGGAAGCTTGAACGATATTAACCGATGAATCTAAAAAGGTATAAATCAAAAACAAATGCAAGTAAGCTAACCACGAAGTTTCTTCATCGTTGATGATACACGAAGAATACTTCGCAAAGTTTCGTACACAACGCCAAGGCGTCTAATAAGAATGACCTGACTGTTTAGATGTTCGTAGTGTTTGCCCAGTCTTTGTTTTATCATATTGACGTTGCCAGAAATGCTCATGATACGAGATTCAACACTTGCGACAATGTTGGAGAAATTCTCCAGATCAGCAGTTTGACTGAGCAACTCATTGTTGTGCTTTGAAACATGGCTATAAATCGCTGCTTCTAGTCTGTAAAATAGAAGATCCATAAAAATACTTAACAACATCCTTTACAATATGGTAAAGAAATGGAAAGGATGTAGTTACTTAGCAAGACAAAAGCTTCGTATAAATGTTTTCTTACACAGATAACCTCTCTGACACCATTTTTAGGGGCTCAACCAAATTGCTCGTTTCAAAAACTTTTGAAACAAAAACTTTTTCATCGAACCCGTTCTGTAGAAGCTTCAGGAATTCATCACTATCCATGTGTAAGATCCACAGCACAGGGCGATGGCATTAATGACAGCAAAATCGAACGGGGCTAAAGATTATCCAATAACTATTTAGATTCCATTTAGTGGGCCAATCAAAAGCCACGATAACGATTTAACCAATGAAGACGACAACAATCCGCGAAAGGAATAAACAGGCCTAATTGATCAACATGGAGCAATGAGTCGTCCACTGACTCCCCAATTCCCACTAATAGTTTACCACTGACCTTATAAAAAAGTTGCAATTAGTCTATAATAAGCTCACCTATAAGCTATCGTCCCCCCCCAAAAAAGTATGATATGTTGAGTTCATAATTTAGCGGTGAACGAAAATTACCTTGAAAAATTTGCGAACCTTGAGCAACAATAATTGTTTTATGCTCTTATTCATTTTGAGAATTTGGTTTTTAGTTTGTTTCTATGTGGCAAATAGATCACCTTATTATGTCGTCTTTGAACAAGTCTTCACTCATTTCGACTTATAAATAAAATCTTAAATCTTTTACATAAATATACGTAAAATTTATGTATACTCCATACCACTGAATCAATCAATTTATTATCTGACATTTTTAAGATTTAAGTTTTTGAAGATGTTGGCATTTATGATGAATACCAAAACCGTGTATATAAAGAGATCTTTTATGTCATCATATCCAGATCACTAAATGCTATCTTTTTAAATTAAGAATTTGAAGCCACAAAATTGGATTTTAATATTTTATTAAGTTTATATGCAGTAAAAATAATACCAACGCAGAGGAATTAAAAAAATAATACATGTTATTCCATTGCAGCATTGCGGCATAAAAGAGTTTAATAATTTGTTTCTTTAGCGTTAATAAATAGCAGTAATCGAAATGTTTTCCGTCGATTCTTGAAAGACCTTTTATATGCAAGTTAATTTAGAATTAATGTCTTGTTTCAAGCAGAAGTCAATGGTAATAATGATACCAGGTCGCAATGTTTTCTTTTTGACTATCCGTATTAAATTTCATTTTCCCAATGAGGACTAAGATTTCATATGTCAAGTTATTTGGTTGAACAGATTTTAATCAAAAGCTAAGGATTTTTACATTTGATAAGCAAGTATGAAATTCAATTTTATTTTCTGTTCCTTTTAGTGTTTTTAGTAAGCACGATATGTCAATGGAAAAATCGGTGAATTCATCCATAATACAGTAGAATTCATTAAAATATACAGCTTTTATAAGGAAAATTATTATTAAAGTTCACGGATTAAATTTTTTAGTTATTTAACGAATATTTCTGCAAGATGTATTAAATCTATTCTCTCAGTTTGTGCTTAATTCCGCCTATGTCTAAATGGAAAAGTAAAAGCTTATTTTTATAAATAATAGATAACATAAAAGAATTCTTGAGTTCCCACATATTTTTATCTTTATCATCTGTATGAAGAAATCAATAGTATTCTTCTTGCATCTTGATAATGAGCAATGATAAGATTAATATGCAAATTGTCTTAGTAAACGTTTTCCTCCATTTTTCTTTGATATATAATGTTTAATGTGGGTTTTTTGGAGGAGGATTTAATTTTGCTATACCTTGAATCATATTTACTTAATCATTGTTGATGGAAATCATGGGAAAAAATTAATTCGTTAATTCTGGGCAGACGTAAACGAGGACAAATTCATCATAAGGAACGGATTAATGTGGAAATGGTTGGGAAATAGACATTCTTTTAATACCATAGATGGAAGACACTAATATATGGCCCCTGTTATTTTATACTTTGTTCTAAAGTCAAATTAAATCATTAATTTCTTCAGAATATCTTTATGAAACTTTTCTTATAAATTAATGAAACTCATCCTGCGATATATTCACAAGAAAGGATTTACTGTGAGGAATGGGGCGAAGAGACCTCTTTAGTCAATAAATAATCAATAGCCAACATTATATTCGGTGACTAAGCTCCGTGACAGTGACACAATCCAAATAAACGTATTTTACAACTAAGTTCTATTTCCCTATTTTGTTGGGCTGGCTTACCTGATTTCTGGATCCATTCCATACCATGGAATATTGATATAGAGATTACTAGGACAATTCAAGGCTTCTTATGGCCATCCGTTACACCCTATTGGTTAAGGATGATGTATTATTAAGCTAACAAGTGAGTACATTCATTTTCACATTGTTGCCTATGCACTTTTGTAATCCGTATTTCCACCTTTAAGTACCCTTCTGGTTGAATTTTGGTGGCTGCATCTGGTAACAAGAAATTATGGACTATTTCGTTTCCTGTAAAAGTGTATATTGGAATCTTTTAAGTTGTTTTCCATCGAACTTCGTTCAACATCGACATGGAAGCTCTTGAAGAAAGTGCAGTGGCAATGTCATGATGAAGCGAATTTTGACAGTGCAGTTTCCTGCGTCTTTATTGGGGGGGGGGGGGGGGGGGGGGGGGGGGGTTTNGGGGGGGGGTGGGAATGGTTTTAAATTCTTCACACGTCATCATAACAACTAGAGGGGACCGATTTTTCGGTTTCTAGAATATCTATCATTACCCATCCTTTTGAGCCATGAAAATAGCACCCATGACCTTCTTAGGCATCTTTCATCTTTGAACTTGACAGGCCCAGATATTTCCCTTGGATATCACTCTTTAGATTGACTTTCGCTTTCTGAATAAAATTGGTGGATCCTGGTTTCAGCTTCAGCAATACATCACTTAAAAAGAATAACCCTTATTTGCTTCCATCTTTGTCAAAAATTGCTAAATAAAGCTCAGCTTTTTTGGGTCAGTTGTTATTCTTGCAACAGTCTTGTCGCCAACCGTTCCGAGAACTTGCTCAAGGGAAGATTTTCTTTGTGAATTAAAAGGGCTATTCCGTGTGCTTCTTCTACACCATCGAAGGTTTCCTCAATGCTAACTCATCGATATTGATTCAATAAGTTCAGCATGAGAGAGATGCCTTCATGATTTCTTACTGTGGTGGGTAACCCTTCTAGTGGGTCATTATCATATTGGATTCATCCCACCTTAAAGCGTTTAAACAAATCTTAAATGACAGCTCTTCTTGGTGCTGATCCCGCATAAACCTGTTGTAAGGCTTCTATGATCTGAACAGCCTTCAATTCAATTTATTTTAAAATTCTATGCTAGCTCTGATGTCCTAATTTGCCATTTGAAAAGTCGAAATTGATAACTATTTAGAGATGCAACCTGTCTTGATCCTGACCTTACACAGAATGATCAACTAGTTGTACGTCATTAAGGAAACTCTAAAGACCTGTTTGAACTTGAGTAAACCGGTAAATCTTTGTTCTATTTAAAGGTGTGGCATTTGCCTTGGGGGCGCTTTGATTCACCTCTCATTTAGCGTACATATTCATTGTCTCGAATTCGTTGTCAATTACATTTTTTCATCTGTAATCACACTTACATTCCACGACTATGTTTGCGGAAAGCGTTCTAGTATGCTCTTTTAAAGGAAAATTCCCAGCGTACATGATTTTGCATTTCAACACATTTTGATGCAAGATATAAAAAAATGACTATTGAATTGAAAACTACAGTAATGACCATTTCATATTAGTAAAGATATCGTTCTTAGTCGATCCTAGGCTGCTTTTATCACCAAAAGATATCTCATGAGCACTGTTATCCACCTTTTTCAAACGAGCTGTTTAGTAATGAAACTTATCATTTAAATGATTTTTAATTAGGTATGAATGTGTTCATTCTATAGCGTCGAACCGTAGTTAAGCTCTGCTTGCAGTAACATCGAAATCACTTAATTTTTCTGGTCAAATCAATCCCAAAATGCTAGGTTTACCCACTGTAAGTCAAAGAATATTTTGCCAATTTTATTAGAACTTTTTAATTAAATCAACCTTTGTAGTTCAATATAGAAGAAATTGTAGAAGAATATGTAAAGAGCCAAAAACTCGCCTCTCGGCAACAGTTGAAAATGGACTTTGATGAACTTATTTCAATGTGTGAGGAAAGAATGCAAGAAGAAAACGAAAACTGGCAGCAGGAATTCGGTGAATTGAAGACGGATTTTGAGCGAGTTCAGTTCTACTTACGACATTTCTCTGAACTTGAAAGAGGTCATTTTGAATTCTGTTTATTTCAGGAAGCGAATGTGCCACCTTCGTCAATGTTTTAAATCACTTTTTTTATTGTAACTAATTTAGCTAGGAACATGTTTAAGGCCGAGGCAGTTGAAGCAGCAAGGGAACAATTGCGAAGATGCAACGGAAAGTCTGATAAGATTTCTGAGCTTTTGCTCCGGATTAGTAAGCGCAAAAAGGAAGAATTGAAGCCTACATCTTCCCTGCGATTTTCAACACTGGCAGTTTTTCACGCATCAACAAGGAGGCAGCTGTCTCTTGCATTGGCCCAACGGTCTATCCTTCTGTATGAAATTGGACTTGTCGATGAAGCCATAAGTGATGCCAACAGAGCGCTTAGGGTGGGAATTTTAATTGCTCTTAAATCACCCTTTATTACTTTGTGCTCCACTTCTTATAGGCAGTACAAGTAACGATAAAGAGCCCAATATTTCTATCCTCACATTTTGAAATCAAATTAACTCCAAGTGGTATAATTAAATATCCACATTTAAGTGGAATTAATGTCCTACTTAAAATCTTCACAGTAGATAGTTATCATATGAATTCGATTCTTCCTTGAAGGCCGATAAGGCAACCTTATTTTTTGATTTGGTAAAAATTCCATGCTGAAATAAACTCCATAGTTATGGAGCAATTATATTCATTTACAACCTCGCCATTTTGCTGGGTTAAGTTTTATCATTCTTATAATGCACCCTCACAATATACAATATTCAGTTAGCAGTGTGAAATAGGGGTGCAACATAGACAAGATAATTGTCAGAATACCGCACTCATATGCCCACATGGTTTCTGTCTACTATTGTGGGGATTTTGCCACGATATTTTGGGCCATATCGAAGACTTCTCTGACGGTTTGTTTGAATTCCCTTGTTACTCTAATTTTCTCAAAAACACCCTTATTCTCAGAGTTTCAATAGTGAATGCTCTTCTTTGTTTTTTTGTTGAATGACAAGTTATCTTTTGGTATTAAATTTCATAGGTTGTGTTTTTTTGAATTTGCCAATGGCATTTAATTCTTTTCAGTGCCCTTTGCCCAAAATTCCATCAGTTAAACTGCGTATATGCCTCGGCTACTGTCATAAAAGGAGAGGTAATTTCGGGGAAGCTAAGAAAAATTTTAAGTTTGCACTAAGAGTCATTAGAGAATGTCGTCTAACCAGAAGGAGGGGCAGATACATGAAACTCTATTGGCGTACAATTGGTGTAATGTCTAAATGCAATCAAAAGACGTCTCGGGAGATTTCACCAAGCATATGGAAATTTCACTTCTCCAAAGCACCAAAATTGCGTTTGCCTGAACAAGGAAGGAATATGAACAAGGACTCCGACAAATCTTGCCGTCTACTAGCCTCGAACGGTTCTGTGAAACTTAAAAAATGCGATGGAGAAAAATGTGAATGGAAACTCGAAACAACAAGACCTATAAATGCGGGCAAGTAATTAGCCTCTAGTCTAATAACTAAATACATTTACACCTAATTCATGTGTTTTGTTCAATTAGGTGAAAACATACTAGTTGATAAGGCATATGCGGTGGCGTTAAGGAAAAAGCGAACACAAATTTGTTACACGTGTTTTCGACACTGTTTCAACTTGATTCCTTGCCTCCGCTGCACTCATGTAAGATTAAACCCAATCATTGTGTGTGCAGTTGATGCGTCTATTTATGCAACTATTTTAACCTCGCCTTCCTTCTCTAGTTCGGCTTTTGCAGCAGGATATGTCGTGAAAGAGCAACTTTGGAGAAGCATTCCAAATCAAATGTAAATAAACATATCTACGACTGCAATGGGATTTTACCCAATATCCTATTGGATGAGCTAGCTTTGGCTCAACTTGCCTACATGTGCATTGGAAATACGGACCCTCAAAGACTTATCGATTGTTTGTGTAGAACAGGCGCCTATAAAGTATGCGTAGCATGAAAGTGCAGTATTCATAAATGTTTGCAATACTTGTAGACTGCTCGGGTTTTTTTGTTACTACTTTTTTTCAGAAAGGAAGAGGTCACCAGGCCTTTCGTGGTCCAGAAAAAGTAAGACGAAGACCTCCCGAAACCTTTGACTCCTCCGATTACCAATCTATTGCCTGGATGTCAAAGAATTACAGTGGAATAGATACTGGACTTCTTTTGCAATTCACACGTGCTGCTATTTTCCTCACATTTTGCTTATTGGTAAGTTTGAACAAGTGATTTTTGGGTCAATAATTTTTCAATGAATTTTAAGTCAGAAAAGGTGAATTAGCCCACCATGACAGAATTCTTCCCTGGTCAGAGAACAAAAATTAGATTGAACTAGAATTCCTGTCTTACTAACAGATTTGTTACGCCCTCAGATTGCAGGTTACCCAATGGACATGGAGGTCAGTTTATGGAGCCGAAAAGACGAACCATCATATAAAAATCGACCAAAGCAAATATCCCTCAGTTGGCTTGCGGCGTGCATACTCTATCACCTTCAATCCACCAACGTCACATCTTTTCTCCTTACTCAGAAA